TTTTAATCTTACAAAACTGTCATAAATGATATTTGGAAAACAATTTCTTTAAAAAAATAAAAGGGTTACTTAACACACTATCCTCTCCGCCGCAGAATATACTCCCCTTTCTTTGACTTTCGGCCAGCAGGAGCAATAGCCCTATGAAAGCACAGACAAGTCAGTTTGATGCTGGCACAGGGCTTTCTTTCCCTCATCCTAGTGGCCCAGTGGAGCAGCAGGAGAATGGAAAAAAAGTCTGCAGGTGATACGTTGCCCTCTAAATGCTAATGAAAGGATAACTTTAATTCTTGCTATACTGTAGGTCAAAGCTAAGACATAATATAGCTTTGGTCTAACCTTAAGGGCTTGTTCACACCAATTGCGGGGCATTCCAGAGTGGTAGCTGCTGTAACGCACCGCAATCGTTTCCAAAACCTCCCCCTTCGTTTTGGGACGGGAGGGGGCGTAACGGTGCATTAAAGTCAATAGAGCATGCTCCGGGGGGGGCGGGGGGGGGGGGGGGGGGGGGGGGGAGGAGGGTTGGGGGTGGCTGTGTTGCCATTGACTTCAATGCACCGTCACGCCACCTCCCACCCCAGAACGAAGGGAAATGTTTTGGGAGTGATTGCAGTGAACAAGCCCTAATTGAATGTAAAGTTTTTTTCACGTGACTTTTTTCCCCCCTAAACATGTCAGTGGACATGTTTTGGCAAATGTGGTCAAAATATAAATTTTTGCATTAAATAAGCTGGGAGGTGGGAAGGGTGGTGAAGGAGAAAGGGGGAAAGGTTAGGGAAGATATAGGGAGTAGGTAAAGAGAGGAAAAGGGTTGACGGGGAGGGGCAGAAAGGACAGGAGTAATGGAAAAAGGAGGCAAGTTAAGTATTAGAAGTCAGAAGGGGAGGACAAGAGACCAAGCGATACTTCATATGGATAATTGGGGATGTTTTTATTCCTATTGCACCTTAGATATCAGTATGCCAAGTAGTGGGGACATAGCGATTTGATGTGATTGGAGTCCATATACGGAAGCCAGAGTGCACATGTTTAATCAAATGTTGATTTTCTATCATGTAAGTGTGCCGTCGGCATTTCCAAATGCATAATGCGACAGAGTTCTCCAATCCGTTCCTTCACAGTAGGGATTCTAGTCGAATTCCAGTGTCTGGGTATAAGAGAGCAAGCTGAGGAGATGAAGAAGCGGAGCAGGTTTTGCTTAAAGTGAGAGATGGGGCCAGGGAAGATGGAGAGTAAGCAATTTTTGGTTAGGGATTAAGAGAGGAACCTGTTACATGTTGGTAAATTGTGAAAATGTGGTCCCAAAAAGGTCTAATCAGTGGACATGTCCACCAGATCTGATATAGGGAACCAGTTTGTGAGGTACATTGGTGAAGATTTGGTGAAAGACTGGGGCAGAAGTACCATCTCGTTAAAAGTTTGTATCCTGTCTCTTTAACCGAGCTGGCGATGGATATTTTATGTGTGAGGAGAAACGCGGACCGAGTCTCTTCCTGAGTGAGATCACGTTCCCAAGGAAATTACCATTTTTAAGGGTTGCCTTTCCCTTTACTCCTTGCATAACTGTTAGTTCCTGACCCCCACCCCTCCATCACATTTAAAGCCCAACTGCGGGCACCTGAAAAAGCTACCCTTGCAGTGGAGTTAACTGCTCCTTAGGTGTAGGGGTACAGGGTTAAGGAGTAATACTTGCCTTATTCCTTGTTCTGGCATGCGCCCTCTAAGGGGTTCCCAGCCACGATTGCACACCTACCTCGTCCAAATACATTGCAGGGCTGATAGCTCTGCATTGTATGTGATGATGCTGAGGGACTGCCCACAACTCGGAGCATTGCGAAGAAGAGGAGTACGCTGAAATGGAACTTAAGGCGTGTAATACCACCTTCTCTACCCCTTAGAATTAACAAGCATTTAACCCTTGCAGTGCCAGGGACCCCAGTCTAGATGTGGAATGAGACCCTTTTACTGCCAAAGCCATTTTTTTCACCCATGTTAAAATGTAAATTTTGAGCCTGAAAGTTTCTTAAAACCCCCCAAAATTATATATTTCCTGAAAGCGGAGACCCTGTACAATAAAATGCTGCCACCTGAAATTTTTTATGCCGCACAATATCGGTACAACTGTTTATCAAACATAAATTTTCAGTAAAAATGCATTCAACTTAATTTTATTGAACACTCACAATATAATACCTGGTAAAATATATAAAGATGTGGTTGTGTCTGGTAAATGGATACTAAACATTTCACACCTCAAAAGTGCGCCGTTTAGTATCGAAAACTACAGTTCCCAAAATTGGCCATAATTGACACTTCAAAAGCCTGTACATATCATCAATTTAGAATTAACAATGAATGATAGTCCTTAATTGTACTCGCAGTGACTGAGAAGCACACTAGGCACAGTGCAGTGATGGGAGACCCTGTTGAGTATATGGATACCAAACATGTCAAGCCTTCAAATTGCGTGCACCTGTGATATCTAAAAAAAAAAAAAACTTTTACTGCTCATCAATTTTTAGTGTAAACCGTGATTGATGGCCCTAGAATTATCACTTGCATTTCGACGTTTGCATTGATATGTAACATGTGCGGTGCAATTGTTTTTTTCCCAGATAGGCGTTCTCGGCGCGTTTGTAGGTGCATGTACATGAGGACGGAAAACTTTTTTCCAATTAACTTCATTGCTAACACATAAGGGGCTAACAAGCCTCTTATGTGATGGCACATATACAGTGACAGGTCCTCTTTTGAGGAGACCCCAAATGTCATCTAGGGACCCTCAAAGAAGCTGAGAACTGCCTGGCCATTTTCTTCTCCAGCTCCAGCAGCCGAGTAATTCACATTACTTCCGAGATCGGAGGTTCCACTTGCTGGCTGCTACTTTACTGCTGGGTCCTGTATGGACGTAGTGGCATGCAGTACCACAACACACAGCAAGAGACAATACTGAGTCTATCCGATGCTCTTGAAGAATATGAAGTTGAGGTACTTTAAAGCCACTAGTAGTAAACTGTTTTTGAGGAGGAAGGCAGCCTATGTGTTCTTTTCTAGCCCATAAATAAAAGATCCAGCACCGTGAAGTGAAGCTGGCAGATGCCTACGATACTACATTTTTGCCTGTCATAAAATATACTGCAGCTAAATAGAAATAATGGCAGCAATGGAGCTAGCAAGTAGAGATAATCGAGAGGATGTTAACAGAGTTGGTATTCTCAGCACAGCTGCAAAGTGATGCATCCAGTTGACATAAAAGCTGTGCCATCACCCAGGAAACAATAATTAGTTTGAGGTTGAGGTCGTATTTTAATACTGCAGTACACTGTTGGTGAGTAAAATTAAGCAGAGGGAAATGTATCCTATATAAATTTAGCCATACATCTGATTGAAGTCCTGCTAAAATCTATTTTCTTTTATCATGCCAAGTAAAGTCGAAACAGACTTAAGTGATTCTAAGCTGGTATAATACTCCTAAACTTGTACATAAGTCTATTTATTCAAGCTACACAATAGCTTTGCCAACAAGTTAATCCTCAGATGAAAAGAGCCTGCATTCCCAGAGATTACTCTAGGGCTAAACCTATTTTCATCAGGATTTCAACTAATAAGTAGTCGTTTTTTTAATGCATCATTAGTCAGTTTAATCTGATTTCACATATACACCTCTGTTATGTAATAATTTGTGTTATGTGGTGAAAATGGTGCTTTTTCCCCCACACCCTTCCTTCCTTAAATACCTTAGGTTTGAAGTATCAAATTACACAAATTTGTTACACAAAGATTGTGTGTGTGTGTGTGTGCTTTTGTTTTGTTTTTTTAACAAATGAGTTATTGATGCAAATTTTAAAGTAACACTAAACTCGTGCTTGCACTGTCCTTCCTTCTGGAGGGTGGCTACTTTTGTTCTCCATGGTCCCTGTGTGTGTTGTAAAGGAGCCACCTCTCCAAACTTGCTTCTATGATGGGCTACAATCTCAATACAAATAAGCGGTGACTGCTTTACAACACACCCAAGGACCATGGGGAACAGAAGTAGCCACCCTCCAGAAGGAAGGACAGTGTTGCCGCAACGATCTACAGCTGAGTGATACACAAATAAGACACATTTTTGTTATAGTTGGGGTACTTGAATGCATTTTTAAGATTTAACTCCTAAATGTAGTGTCACTGTAAATATATTTTCCTAAGTTAATGAACAACTACTGCACATACCTTCTGTTCATTGTACGTTTAATTTTCCAAAGTGGGAGCCCACAAATATCCAATTGTTTTGCTCTTCATACAGTCTATGTATGCCTTTGTGGTTACAATTAAAAATGACAATTGCTTCAACCATACATTAAATGTTCGTGCCATGTAGATGTTGGATTTCAGCCCTCATCTAGGTCTCCCTGCGTGCAGTAGTTGTTGAACATGGCTATAGAGTGTATAATATAACTCTGACACCAAGGAGGAAGGAGCTACAAAATGCCAATGAACAGAATATGGCACGGGAGATCATGATGCACCAATATAATGAGAACTTGGAGCTGAGTCTTATTTCCATGAGGTTGTCTTCTCAGCAAACACCACTCCAAACAGTCTAGTGGAAATCCCTTTTTAATTGAAACAACTTATCTTTTTAAACCTAGCTAGCTGTGTAATTTAATGAACCAGTTAAGCCACTGTTATCTGAATGGTTATGAAGTTGGAGAAAATAGGAGCAGAATATTATTGCACTGTGAAATAGGCCATTTTGGCAGGTTTGTGGCTTGTCTGCCCCTTAGGCTCAGACGCAGTCCAAAGAATGCATTAGCATAGCAAACTGATCCACTGCACCATATTATATGGTAATTCTACATATTGCAACATTTTAAAATAACACCACACCAGGTAAAACAGTCACAAAGGATGATCCTTTCTATAGAGTTTCTTCCTGACCTTTGTAAATATTTTTTTTATTTTCTTACTGTTAAGCATAAGCCAGGCCTTGAGTTTCTTACATATTTTTCTGTTTGCAGATGTACCTTGTGATATTCCCTGAAGGAACACGTTACAATCCTGATATTCCACAGGTCATTGCCGATAGCCAAACCTTTTCCATGAAAGAAGGTAAAATACAAATATAGCTGTCTTGATATATGATCTTCTGACACTCATCATTTTAGCAGCATACAGTTTCTCTGTCACGTTAAGCTTTATTTTCCTACAAAAACCCAGCAGTTATTCTAGTCTGACATAGATCTACCAGTAGCAATCCCTTTAAAATGTATATTTGTGACTGTTATGTTGTCCATTGGATTGTATTTTGTATAATATATATTTGGTTCTATCTTCTCAAAAAATACTGCAGCACTTCACAAAGAATATTGGCTAATTCTCAGTGCCCATGTCTGTGAAATGGATAAACATTTACCACAAAAGAAAGCACTTAGATTACTAATTATGACCCTTTACAGCAATTTCTGATTGTTTCCAAACAAGCTCTGAAGATCCCTCGAGTATACTCGTCTATTGTTTGTTACCCAATTTCTGAAAAGTTTAAACATGGCTTCCTGGCTTATTTGCTTCATCAACAGGGAGCAATTGGAAACAAAATTACTAGTCTGACTTGTCTGCTTATTAAGGGGCACTAGACAGCAGACTACATATAAATTGAGTGGATTGTTTAGGTAGAGCTTCTGTTATATAGTTTTGGTAGATCTAAGGGCCCATTCACATTTAAATGCTCCTAAAATTGGACAAGCACCTTTTTTGCCAGAGAAAATGTAGTGTGGTTGGAGTGCCATTGAAAATTGATGCTCTACCATGTGTTACCATAATGCATCAATAGCATGCATTGATAGTGTGATAGAATGGTTAGTGGGACAGACAGGCTTCAAATCTGTTTCAGATAATTTTTTTTTAAATCCCCCCCCCCCCCAATTTTTTTGTTTGTGTTTTTCATTCTGTTAAAGTGTCTAACAAATTAAAATAAAGCTTTGGCTATAAAGTATGGTGAGGTTAGAACTTATGTCAGGTTTTTTTGCTGCCTGAGCCACTGGGGAGATTCACGTTGTCCATTTGTCGTAATGACCATTGTCAGCTGTACAGAAAGTGATGTGAAATCCCAGATTTTACATTTAAAAACAGAAAAGAGAGTTAAGGGAATTCTTTCAATTGAGCCACCTGTTTAACAACTGTCTAAAATGAGATTTTCTGTTCCCTGTGCAACAGGGTTTTTAACCATTCTATACTCTTTCTAAAACTAAAAAGATGCACTGTGAGGGATTTTCAACGCATTGAAGTGTCGGCAGATTTTATGGAAACTTTCATTTTTAAGGTCACTGTGGCAGGCTGCTGTTTTCATTGATTATTAGGATATAAGGGCTTGTTCACACCAACACAGGCGAATACACAGACCTAAAGAAATCAATTGTTTTCAGGCGTCTGTTCACGGGTCCCTTGTGCGTCCCTGTGCCTTTAAGGGAGGTTGGGCTTCCTCCTGACAAACCTGCACCCAATTTTATCTTGCCACATGTGCTCCAAGATGGAGACTCATAGGTTAGAGTTAGGACCGCACTACCCAGAGGAGCATTGACGAGGCGGTGCGACTTTCACATTTTCTGCAGAAGACGTGTATCTAAACCTCTGTTTTTAACCTTAGCGGTGAGACAAGTTTTTTTGCATGCTGGCTGGTGAGTGCGCTTGTCTTAGAAACTCTAAGACAAGCGTTTGAATTGGATCTCAATGCAACACACATTAATGCAATGTTTTGTTGAGCCCTGGACATAAAATTATAATGCTTGTGGGCAGTCTTGGGACCTCTGCCGTTACGCTCTTGCCTTATGCCTTATGGGCATGTGCAGTGTCCTTTTTAGGTGTATTCCACTTGTATATGAAATCAACGTAAGATGCTTCTGTAATCATTTACATTTCATTGGCAGGTGCATTTCACCTTCCTAACCTTTAGTAACTTGGTTTTAGCGGCATTTGCATTCCCATTGAGTTGTGTGGGCAAAAAAGCAGTTCCGGCTTTACCAGGTCCTTAGATCTGACTGACAGGTCTTGAGAGGGAAAACTAATGGACGCATTGTAACCTCCTGTGATGATGATCATTTACCCTTGATTAGCTGATGTCAATGATGTCTGAAACACTTCAGTCAAGCCTTTCACTTCCCTCCTGTCTATGGACAGGAGTTCAAGTTCCCGGAAGAACTCCAGGGAACCCAAACAAAGCAGATATACTCACCTGAGACTTGATTCTACGGTGGTCAGGTCCTTCACTAGACTGGATTGGATTTAAATTTGGCTAACCTGCCCTATGTTCTTTAGATTTTTGTGCAGCCAAACATTTTACATAATCAAATCTCATTCTAGAAAAGTTGTGTGAAGGGGTCAGCATGTGACTTTCCTGTCACAAAACATGCCTGCCTCATCCACTAATCTTTTACTGGTTTGGGTTGTTGGTGTGTTTTTTTTTGTTTTGTTTGTTTGTTTTGGATGGTTATTCATTTGAATTTTTGCAAATTTAGGTTTGCAATTGGAAATTTCTACATTGTGAGGCCAGAACATCTTTGGACAACCCACATATAATACACTCTTTCAAATAACCCCTTCTCAGAAAAGTACCTAAGATCACATTGCTGCAAAGAAACAATGCTAAGAACTCCCCTGGTATTGATCTGTAAAATAGGCTATTCTGGTTATTTTACCTTTAAGAAATAAGTCCAAATAAAGAATGCATCAAAAATGTAATTGAGTAGGAAGAGCAGTGCGTTCTATCAGATCTCCATGTGGTACTGGACATTGGGTCATTATAACTACTAAGAAATTATGTTTTATCTAAAATATGTGGTTGCTCATCTCTGTATCAACTGCTCTATGACAAAGCGCTGTGTACAGGCAGAAATGCGTCTACCTGAGATTGCTAGCTAAAAAGACAGTAGTGATCCAACAAAGTACCTTAGCTCTGAAACAGAATGCTGTAAACAGAAGATGTTATTTTAAATTTCAACTACCATATACTAGAAAATATCAAGGTTACCGGTTCAGTTTAACAGAAAAATATGTGCAAGCATTAAGCTTTCTTTGTACGATAACCATAAATGTGTCTGAATTGTTTATGGCAATGTAGCCAAAGGCTATCTTATTTCAAGCAAGTTTTTGTCCCCGTCGCTCAGTCCAGTTGGCTAAAGAACACACACATTCTTTCAGCCATTGTTGTTAGTCTCCGTTAGATTTCTCCTGCTATGAAGCCTTTTCATATTTGGGAATGTACATTAACTTATTTCAAACAGGATATCTAAGAGTCAAAGCAGAGCTGTGCTCCAAAATATGCCCATAACTAAGAGATTAAAAATTGTTGCCTCTGAAGCAATGATCTAGTTCTAGACAGATCCTTACAATATATCACAGAGAATTTGCCTCTAAGCTTGCAAGTTTATCTTATGGCTTAACATGCATTAGCATGCAAACTTATCCCCAAACAACCTTCAAGTGACAGTAATAAATTGGTAACTCAGTCATCATCTAAAACAAAAACATGTCTGCGTCTGTTTAATATTACTGATTTCATATCTAGGTGGAATAAGCTCTTGGGGCTCTTAAACACCATTCCCACGACTGCACACTGTCAGTTGCATGTGTTGTGGTCCCAGCGAGGTGAAAAATTAGAAGTTTACATGTTATCATATTTTAATTCACAGCCTTTATCTACATTTTTACTCTTAAGTCATGTAAATGGTTCTAATATTGTTTCATGATCTTAGTGATGTTGTATTGATGACAGCACGATTAGGGGGGGGACACACCAGTAACCTAACCTTTATTCAGTCTTACCCCGTTCCAGAGACTGCCATCAACCATTCCTCACTACCCGTGCAAGTAATTGGACAGGTACATTATATATGAAGCTGTGTGCACTATCCTGGAACCTGTACTTTGTCCTGAGAGCCAGGTGGTGGCTGCTCGATGAGAGACTTGCCTTGCTTGCTTGAAATAAGATAGCCTTTGGCTACATTGCCATAAACAATTCAGACACATTTATGGTAATTGTACAAAGAAAGCTTCATGCTGGCACATATTTTTCTGTCAAACTGAACCTGTAACCTTTTGATATTTTCTAGTATATGGTAGTTGAAATTTGTGTGGGGAACTTGTTAAATTCAACCGGAATGTAAGAAGTTCCTCTGCCTGCCACCCAGGAGAGTAAAGTAGGGTATACACGGTTAGAATTTCAAACAAACAAAATCGATTTCGGAACATTCATCCGACTTTCTAATTGATTTCGACTGCAGTGACAAAAAAAATTGGAAGAATCATGTTGGAAAAATTTTTACAAGCCGAATTCTAACTGAATGTGTTTTCGTTCACAACACTCCGTTCATTCCAAAACCGAATGTTAAAAAAACAAAAATCAAACAAAATTTCGAGAACAATTCCCAAGCCTCTGATGGTAGCATCGAACGTTCCAATGGAATTTCTCGTACAGACGTTCTTGCAAAAATCTACCAGTGTATACCCCACTTTAGTGTTGGATATTTCCCTCACTGCCTGTTACATTGGAAAGTTAAAGGAGAACTATAGGGTTAAGGCTTTTCCCCATTGTTCTCCTTAGGGTAACGGGAGGACACAAACTAGCGTCCTCCCGTCATCCTAAGCTCAGTATACCGCGAGCTGTAGCTATACCACCACCCTTATCTGCAGTCCCTCCTTTTCTTTCCCTTCTTCCTTTTTTTCTTTTTCTTTTTCCCCCTTGCCCTGGGTATCTACTATTACATTTTTTCACTTATGTTATATTTTGCCCTCTTAAAGGAGAACTATGGGGTCAGGGCTTTTCCCCATAGTTCTCCTAAGGGCAATGGGAGGACACAAACTAGTGTCCTCCCGTCACCCTAAGCTCCGTATACCGCGAGCTACAGCTCGCGTTATACTGAGACGCCGCTGTTACTGTCATTACTGAGACATTACTGTCGAGATCCACCCAGCTGCGGGATTGACAGCTGGCTCTGCCTATCTAGAGGCTGAGCCAGCTGTGCCCGCCCCTCCCCCGTCCGTTCCGCCAGTCAGCGCTGGAGGATCTGAGCAGGGAGGGGGGGGAATCCCTGCAGGGAGCCGTGAGTGACAGTCAC